GCTAACACATTTAGAATTTCTCCTACGTTCTGGGGATGATGTCTGTGGTGCTTTTGGGTTCCTAGGGTTTAGGGTTTAGGGTTATGACAACTAATAGTCCTCGCAACGATGAGCTCAGTTACGATTAGGCATATGGAAGCTGAGAATCGGAAGCTCAGAACGTGCTCCTACATCCATCATACAAGGCTACTACCACTCAGATCATGCGAAACTTGTGCTTGAAGACTGAACCCCAAGCCGTATTCACAAACCTGCCGTCCTGAAGTGCCGAACCCTAAAGCTGAATGAGCAATACTGTTCCAACATGACCTAAGCCCCAAGCACAAACCTAAAAAGACTAAAGCCCTACACAGACCCTCGCGACAAAACTGTAATCCCTTTTGTAGTAGTTTCCATTTTTATTTTCCATTATCCCTGTATAGCCCTATATTATCCCCATATATCCCTGACTCAATCCTTAGCTCAACGGGGGATCATGGTTTTGCTGCGTGACTTTCCTGGCCGATGAGTTTCACAGAGGCACAGGGATCTCAGTGACAGCAACAGCATGGGACTGGGTAATATTGGAGTTATATAGGGATCATGGAAAACAAAACGGAGACTACTTATAGTATAGTACCAGTATATGAATAATTCGTATGATTTGCGGCATGTGACTGTGCAAGGTTTCTCAACATTCTGGCTTTCTCAGGGATCCTGGGTTGTTTCGGGTTGGGGTTCCAGGAATTCAGACCTGAGGATTCAGGGTTCGTCTTCCAGGCTTTGGGGATTGGGGATGTGTCGCCATTATGGATCCTAAACCCTAAACCCTAAACCCTAAGGATAAGAAGGGCGTTGTCAAGTCTTCCAGTCTTGGCCAGCAAGGACCTATGATAAAGCCTGGAATCATCTTGACGCATTTACCTTTCAGCCATAAAAGAGCCGCGCCACATCTGTTCATCAAGTCTTCAATTGCGTGTTGACGGAGTTGTTTCTTACGATTCCTAGAGGCCTCAGAGGCCAGTGTTTTGATTCAGCAGGTGCTGTTCCCACATTGCGGCTCTTGCCAGTATACAGGGGATGAGGGGTATAATGGGTATAAGGATGTACCGGGTATAGGGGGTATACTTGTTATATTGGCTGTATTGGTCAGCGTCAGTGTCTTTGTTGGCACAAGGGGAGGCGACTTCAGTCTCACGCCGAGCGCAGTCTCTGTTCCTAGTTTCCTAGCAGAAACAACCCAAATTCACTGGAGTTGGGGCGCATGCAGTTTGAAATGTTGAAGGACTCTTAAGCTCTGACATTTCAAGCCCACTTTCCTCCCTCCGAGAAGCCAAAGTTTTGATCCTAAAGCCTTGTCAACCTACAGCGTGTGGCGCAGCGGTCGTCAGCCATAGAGAGGGGCATCCGATACCAAAGCGGTTGTGTTTCAAAACACAGGTCCTATTGCAAGCCGTCCGTAATGTGTAAGTAATAGATCCTTTGCCGCGCTACCCGGAGCATTAAATCTGCAGTGATGGACATTCCTGTTCTTCCATGTGGCATGGGACTTTCTACTGTTAATCAAAGGGTTTTGTATGCCGCAGCAAAAGGGTTCCAGTCAACTCCAGAAGGGCCTCTTGCGCTCGAGACATTTTCAGGTCATGCCGCGAAGGCTTCTGCACCTGCAAGCAGTGGCCAGACTCTTACGTCTTACAAGTGGCAATGACGCATGCAAGATTACAACGAAAACGGACAATGTCAGTATTAGTCAAATCATCCAGGTGACACTTGCCAAGCTGCCACTTGGCGTGTAAAACTGAAGTGAACTTGGCCAACATATCGAGGAAGAGGGCAGCAACATGTTGCTGGAGGCATTTTGGAGTAAGTTTGATCACTTTGATCATGTTGCTTAACGTCCACCTGGTTTTGATGCTTGAATGTGGTTCTTGTGCCATTGCTATGCAGTCCCCGCAATCCTTCCTTCATGGTGGAAATCAGCATTTGCTAGGTGGGCAGGATTTGAGGAAGTCATTTGGTAGCTGTTGGTATCTGTGGAATTTGGCATGTTCTGCTACTCCATTTGTATGATGCTGTTGGTTCAGGGGTGCTATGATGTGCTCTTCTTGAGATAGCATACTTAAGGCATATGTGGGGAGTTACTAGAAGGGGTATCAATCAAGCTCATTGGGCTAGTCTCGTGGAGCTGTGTAGGTTTTTCCTGTGCTTTAGTGACGTGCTGCGCTGCTGCAGCCTCGGCTCCAGCCCGGGCCAACGTGGCAAACATGCTCACAAGGTCTTGCAGCGTGCGTACATGCCCCCTGTTTGCCTTCTTGGGCGGAGATACTCCTACTGCTGAAGCTCTGCTGCAGCTGACCGCAGCACTCAAGGACCAAAGCAGCTATGTGCGCAAAAGTGCCGCAAACGCCTTGTGCGAGATGGGTCCAGCAGCAGCTGAAGCTTTACCGCAGCTACTCAAAGTGCTCGAAGATCAAGACTGGCAGGTGCGCAGGGATGCCGCTGAAGCCCTGGCCAAAATCGGTGCTGCAGCAGCTGAAACTCTGCCAGGACTAAGCTGGTCGTGCCAACGTGCCTTGCGCGAGATGGGTGCCGTAGCAGCGGAACCTGTGGCACAGCTGATCAATGAGGTGGAGGACCAAGACTGGCAGAAGCGCATGGACGCCGCAGAAGCCTTGGGCAAGATGGGTCCTGCAGCGGCAGATGCTGTGCCGTGTTTGATCGGAGCACTCGAGGACCAAATCTTGCACGTGCGTCTGTGTGCTGCAGAAGCCTTGGGCAGGATGGGTCCTGCGGCAGCCGAAGCTGTGCCGGAGCTGCTCGACATGCTTCAGGACCAAGACTGCCAGCTGCGCGCGAGTGCCGCAGAGGCCTTGGGCAAAATAGATACTGGAGGAGCCAAAGTTGTGATGCAGCTAATCCAAGCACTTGAGGATGAAAACGGACCTGTGCGCTTTCGTGCGGCAGAGGCCTTGGGCAAGATGGGTCCTGGAGCAGCAGAGGCTGTGCCGCAGCTGATCAAAACACTCCAGGACCAAACCTGGCATGTGCGTGCGCACGCCGCAGAAGCCTTGGGCAAGATGGGCCCTGCGGCAGCTCAGGCTGTGCCGCAGCTGATCCAGACGCTTAAGCAGCCTAATGTGCAAGATTTGATCCACCATGAAAGCATTTCTGTTGCCAGAAGCGCAGCAGCTGCGTTCTGCAAGATTGAAGCTTTACCGCAGCTCATCAAAGCGCTTCAGGGCCAACGCTGGGATGAGCGCTTGTGCGTCACACTCCAGAACCTCCTTGACCAAATCTTGCACGCGCGTGTGTGTGCTGTAGAAGCCTTGGGCAAGATGGGTCCTGCGGCAGCTGAAGCTGTGCCGGAGCTGCTCGACATGCTTCAGGACCAAGACTGCCAGCTGCGCGCGAGTGCCGCGGAGGCCTTGGGCAAAATAGATACTGGAGGAGCCAAAGTTGTGATGCAGCTACTCAAAGCACTTGAGGATGAAAACCGACCTGTGCGCTTTCGTGCGACAGAGGCCTTGGGCAAGATGGGTCCTGGAGCAGCAGAGGCTGTGCCGGAACTGATCAAAGCACTCAAGTACCAAATTCAGCATGTGCGTGCGCACGCCGCAGAAGCCTTGGGCAAGATGGGCCCTGCAGCAGCTGAGGCTGTGCCACAGTTGAGGAACGCTCTTGAGGACCAATGCTGGGATGTGCGCCGCCAGGCTGCAGAAGCCTTGGGCAAGATGGGCACGGCAGCGATTGAAGCTGTGCCCGCCTTGATCGAAGGGCTCAGAGACGTGTACATAAACTTTGTGTGCCAATGCTCCCTGTGCCAAATGGGTGCTGCAGCTGCTGAAGTTGCAGCGCAGCTAACGGAATCGCTCGAGGACCAAGACTGGCAGATGCGCGTGATGGCCGCGGAGACCTTGGGCAAACTAGGCTCTGCAGCATCTGAAGCTGTGCCGCAGCTGGTCAAAGCACTTGAGGACCGTTGCCGTAACGTGAGCTGGTGTGCCGCGGAAGCTTTGAGCAAGCTCGGTCCTGCAGCAGCTGAAGCTGTGCCCCAGATCATGGAAGTGCTCAAGGACCCAGACAGTTTCGGGCGCATGAGCGCCGCAGATGCCTTGGGCGAGATTGGTCCTGCAGCTGTAGAAGCAGTACCGCAGCTGATCAAAGTTCTCGAGTGCGATGAGTGGCATGTGCGCCGGAGCGCTGCGGAGGCCTTAGCCAAGATTGGCTCGGCAGCAGCTGCAGCTATCGCAGAAGCATTGCATGGTACCTATCCTGCAGCTTTGCGATGGGAAAGCTTGATCCTGATGCTTGAGAATGCAGACCCGAAGCAGACAGCTCATGGTTTCATATTGCAGCTTGCTTTGTCGATATGTGCAGAAGGTAGGCGCTCGGTGGATTCAGTTGTAGCTACTGCGGTGTTTCAAGCACTTTGGCACAGTGAAAGCGATGAAGTGGTGCAGTGCGCAGCACGGGCATTGCCGTTTGCCTTGAAGTCAGCCGAGCTGAGCACCTTTCAGCTACGGGGCCTGGTGCAGCGAGCCATTCGGATGGTGCCAGATACCGCGGTGGAATGCAAATTGTATGAGTTGCTGGATGCAACGCCGGCCCATAGCCCTGCAGACCTAGTGGAACAAGCCGTGAGCCTGGTAGACGCCAGTGACATCAACGGCATCGCCACCATCACTGCGAGTGGCAGCGGCACTGCCAGTGCCGCGGCATTCCGCGCTTATCAGCCAAGCCGCGCGTTGAGGAGGTCCTCTGACATGAGCAAAGGCTCTTCTGGATGCAGTTCAAATTCTGAAGCTCGTCTGTCGCAGTATGCTCTTCAGCTTAATGCAGAATGTACAGCCACTGCTCCATCCGAAGGGCCGCAGTATGGTCTTGGGCCGGCAGCCTCAGTAGGTGCTCGGCAGTTCTTACAGAAATCTTTTGCTCTTGAGAGGTCTGTTGACTTTCAAGGTGAAAGGACAAATTTGTGATAAATAGGCAGCTCTCCCCTCCAGCGTTTTGAGCCATCCAAGGTGAGAGAAGTGCAAGCATTGCAAGTGCATCACGCAGTGTGTCTCTGCAGCAAGGAGAAGTCAACTTCCAGAGATGGTACATTCAGAGAGTGCACGCAGACTTGAAGCAGAGCCCAGGAAGCTGTGACGGCGACCCCTTCAGAATCGGACGCTTCTGTCAGTGAGGATGACCAGCAGGCTTCTGCCTCAGTAGAGCAACTACGAGCCGGTTCCGGCTAGCAATCTTGTTCCATATGGTAGTTTCTCAAAATAGGGGGACCTCAATA